CAGTTAAATTAAAGGTTCGATTTGATCTGTACCTGAAATAGCTGATACCCAAAAGCCTTTGCGCCAACAGATGGTAGTTAACGAAGAAGGAACATAGACAGAAGTCCTCGGCGGCGGATGGAAGCAGCAGAAGCACCGTCGACGGCGACGCAGGTAGAAGAAGGAGACTTACCCGAAACTCCTTCTCCGAGGAGACTGCGAGCTACACGACGCTCAATCGAGGAAGTGGGAAGCGAAAGACTTACATCGTCTGAAGAACACACTGAAATCCCCCGACCCCGACTCCAATCCCGACTCAGAGTCAATATCGGAAGCCGATCGATCGTCGTCTTCATCGCCCGTCGTGATTTCATTCTGGACCGACAACAGCGACTAATAAATTAAAGTAATGGAATGGAAGACAAACAAAAGATATGATATAAATTAATTAAAGAAGTAGAGGGACCAGATATGTAAATCAAGGGACCAAAGGTGGACAAAATATGTTAATTTTACTGTTCTTTTCCTCCACAACTTTAATATATATATAATAATGAGTAATAGTCATGTTTGCCATATGTTTGTATGTTTCCACTTTTATCTTATGATCGTATAAACCGTAAATTAGAAAAAGTTGGTAAATAAACATAACAATAACATATTTTTATTTTAAATTAATAACAATAATATATTTTTGTATAATTTAAATAATTATTAAATAACTAAAACATAAAATTTAAGAACATTGGTGGCACCTCACATGCCATATCACCAATAATGTTATAACACAAAGTGGGGAATGATTTTATTTTATAACAAGACAAGATATAAAACCAACTTTATTTCCATTTCATTTTTTTGTACTTTTTTTTCGAGTTTGTTTTTTTATTATTTTTATTCATTATTGTTTTTTATCGTTTGTCTTTTTTTAAATTAATAAAATAAATACATTTTTATAAAATATAATATTTAAAAAACAAAAAAGCACATAATATTTAAAAACTAAATTAAGATTACAATAAAAAAAAGACATAATTTTAAAAGATAATATTATTTTTTCCTAGTCTTAATTAACCCAAATAACATTTAAATTAAACCTAAAATCATAACATTTTACTACTAAACCTAATTAACCCAAATACTTCTCCTAATTTGATCATTCATCGCTTGTAGCACCGCTAGATCTTCAGACGCCAAACCCTCCTAACTAGTCCGAATAATTGACAACTGATGTGTCATTAGTCTCTCTTTTTTGCTTCTGCTTCTCCCGTGCTTGCCTTTCTAGGAACTCCAAGTGACAACGTTTCAAGTCATTTTTTTCTTTTATTAATAAATTGTGCTCATCGAATTTCGCTCGCATTTCCGCTGCATCTTTTGCTTTCGTCTCAACCTCCTCCGCATGCCTTGCAGCGCGCCTCGCTTTGTCGCGTCTAGACGGTCGTTGTGGTGGGGATATCTTCTCGATATCATCTGGGATGTCATCGGTGTCGACATTTAGGTCGATGTGAGTCCTTGTGTCCGACAGGTCGACCGAGCTCGAATTACGAGACCTTTTGAATTGAACCTCCGACGATGTAGGAGTTTTATTCCACTTTGGCTCTGCTCACAACAACTCCCATGATTTATCAAACACTAAAACATGTCTCATTTCGACCAGATATTGTTCTTTTGAAGATTTGAACAGATCTAAGTCGTTGGTTCCGCTTTGCTGTTGCGCCTCAAGCCAGTTGTAAACACCGTGGAATTTGCTGCACCGCTTAGTTATTTGACTCCATTTGTTGCTTAACATGTCATTATCGTGATACAGTTTTTTCTTCAACATAGCGTGGAAATTTTCGTGCACCGCCCCCAATAAGCACATTTCTTCATTCTATTTCTGCGGAGTTCGTCTTTTGAAGTAATAGACCATGTCACCGTCAAAGCATATTCCTCCTCCGGTTTCCACCATTGTGGAACGTCTATATTTTCTGTTTCAACCGTTATCGATTTCCCTTACGTTTTTCCTTTCCCTTTCCCTCTCTCCTACTACCTCCCGCTTCCACTTCAACCGATGGTTGTGTTGGAGGTGGTGGTTGGGTGGTTGTTTGTGGCATCGAAGCGAAAGTAGGGAGAAGATTTTGTTGTAAATTTGGGTTTTGACCAAATAGATTTTGTTGAAGGTAAGGCGAGTTAGAAAATTACATTGGTGGTGAAGCGGGATTGAAAGCGGCTCATTAGTATGAGATTTTTGGTGATGCTTGAGATGATAAAAGATTGAAATAATTTCCGGAACCCGTAAATCCGAGAGGCGAGGTTGTGTGTTTGGGTTTGATGATGGAGGGGGGGGGGGGGTGGGTTTTTGCTCCATTTTTTTGATTGAGAAGAAAGTATGAGAAATTTTATAAATTATAAAGAGAAAGAGAGAGATGTAAAAAAAGTGGTTATTGATTTTGTATTTATATAAAAGTTAAAAGGTAAAAAAAATATTTTCAAACATTTTGACCGTTTAACAACGGTCCATTGCAAACAACGGTCGGATTTTTGTGCATTTCACCCGGTGGTAACAACGACGAGTACCCCTGTAACGAGAAGCAACGAGCTGGGGCGGTGGTGTTCCCCATTACAACGCCGTTGTGGCCTTGCCATGTCGACTAACGAGCAAATTTGTGCATACCGTATGCTCTACAGAGATAACTATGTCAGAAATGAAAGGCAAAGACGGTTGCTTTTAAACTATTCAGAAAGTGATATTGAAAATACAAGAAACACTGTTTTTCAAAAAAAATGTATTCAAACAATAAAAAGTTTGGTCGGCAAAAAAAAACTATAAAGCTCTTCAATTTCAAATACAACTAATTTTTTTTATCGTATATGGTTGTGGTACATTTATTAAATTTGATATATGTTTGCCCCGATGATCAAAACTATACGTTTTATGTACAAGATGCTAGTATAATATATTGTCTTCCTTAAATATTAGTAATTAAAAATTTATTCCCAAAAAGTGAAACTACCAAACATCTCAAATACACAAATTCATGTTAATTCGATAACACAAACAAAATATTCAACTTATAATCTATATTTCCAGATCTGAAAACTGAAACTGAAACAAAATAAATGGATTGATAAAAAACTTCCAACTCAAAACATTTACAAACAAAAGAATTAAATTAGTTATCTATTTACATTTACAAACAAAAGAACAAAATTAGTTATCTATTTATATTTACAAACAGAAGCATAAATAGCATCGCAAAAATAAAATCACGGTGAGATATCCAGGAAAAGGTTAGATTCGTGGCTACTGAAACCAAATCACAGTGTGAAAAGCGATGAAAACCCCCATAATCAAACAAACACCAACAAGAACCGAAACTCATGAACAATCCAAAAAAATCAAAAAAAAAAAAAAAATAGTTGCAAATCAAAAAGACATACCAAAATGTCAAAAAAAATTTGATTCGCGAAATGTCATAGCGTTACGTACAACTTGGTTGCAACAATCATAAACGACAGACGGAATACGACTCTAATTCCATGTAACTTAATAAACATAATACTATTAGGGTTTCATTATTGAATTATAACCGAAGTACAATTACAAAAGAAAGAGAAAAATAATATAAATATAAAAGCTAAAAGGATTAAACCTAACTATAAGTCTAAGGGCTAAGGGCCAAACAGGACCAAACCAGAAAATTCCTGACAACTTTATTGTCCTAACAAAAGAGAAAACAAGAAAAAGTAGGCAATAAAATGTGATGAAAATTATTGTTTCATTTAGGGAATCATCAATGAAGGGTGTTTGGAATTTCATCTCACGACGTTGGTATGCACGACGTGGAAATCCATTCTCCATGTCGCCGCACAAGGTTCTTTTAAAAACTTTACTTTTGATCCCTCTGAGTCCTCAACTAATCTTTTCTAGAAAACAGGTGTTACAAAAAAAATATCATCAACCATTAATATAGAGTGCGTTTAAGAGAATCATTGATTTTATTTTTGAAAAAAAAATGGTTTTTTGGCATATGCATATAACATATGTGCATATGCACATACGTTATACGTTATATGCATATGAAAAAAATGTGTTTTTTGCTGATTTCTTTTTTGAATCTCTAAATCGCTCATTTTAAATGGTGTTCTTATCGTTTTACTTATTTTAAGAAAGTGATTAATACATATTATTGAATTAAAAATAATCGAAAAATACCATCTAATTTAACTAGAAGGGTATTTTAGTCAATTAACATATATTTAATAAATGAAGTTTGCATATTTTAAGGATCATAGATTCTATTAATTTTAAAAATCTGATTTTACGAATTATTAGGTTTTTAATTCGGACATTCTGATAGAATATGTTTGAATATATTCAAA